CACTTCTTTTTGGTTTTTTTTTTGTTTGTTTTGTTGTTTCGTTTTTTTTTGTCCTGCCAAAGTTTTTCCCCGTCCCCCGTTTATTCCGCGAGACGCGGAACAACAACCTGAAGTCCGGCCCCGGGGGAAGGAAGGGGGGGAAAGGGGGGAAGAAGGAAAAACACGCACACACATCCAGCCTTTTTGTGCGTGTGTGGGGATGGAGGGGGTGGAGAGTGCGTTCATTTCTTCCCATTTTTTTTTGGTTATTATTACGATTACGGTGATTATTATTATTATTATTCAACGCTCGCGCTACCGTCGGCGATGCCCCATCGCCCACAAAAAAAAAAAAAAAAAAAAAAAAAAAAAAAAAAAAAAAAAAAAAAAAAAAAAAAAAAAAAAAAGCCCAAACCGAAACCGACCAACGCTAAGCATTGGTTTCAAAATTCTTTCCTTTTATCTTCTCAGCATCTGGAGAGAGGGAGAGAGAGAGAGAAAGGGCGCGTTCATGAGGACTACAAAGTTACAAATATGGCTCCCCAGTCTCTCTTGCCTGATCACTGCAAAGAAATGAAGACGCACTTTAAACTAAACCATTCGCAACTCACTCGCGGTCCCTGTCTGCCTCTCCCTGCCCAGCACCCTGCACAAATATTTGCGAACTAAACACGCCGAGAGAGAGAGAGCAGCGAGCAACTTATTTTTATTTAATGCACGGCGAGCCCTCTCCGAGGCATCGCAGCCCGGCACGGGCAGGAGCAGCCCCGGGGACCCCCGAACCTCCCCGCCGGCGCCCCGGGCCCCCCAAAGCGGGGGGCACAGCCCCCCACACACACAGGTAGGCACCTCAAGGGCAGCGGCGGCCCCGCCAACACCTGGCACGCTCCACCCCGCCAAAAAAAAAAAAAATTAAAAAAAAAAAAAACCGTGGGATGCCTTTTTATTATTCTCATCATTAGCGTTATTATCATTAATTTTTTTTTTTTTTTTGGCATTGCATTGCTTACATCTGAGGGCGTCCTGTTCCGCAGCTCTAAGTGGATCCTTTTCTTCATGTCCATTTCCGTGGCTGGCGGGAGGCGCGGAGGGTGCCCGGCTCGGCTGGCGCAGTGACCCCTGTGCAGAGCCCCCCGATCGCGGGGCGCGGAGGGACTCGGGCTCGCCCAGCGCCGCTCGGAAGCCCGAGCGCAGCACCGCGGCGCGCACTAACCTGATAACCGCGGGGGCGGGCGCTCCGGGGGCTCCGCCGCGAGTGACGGCGCCAGCGGCCAATCAGCGCTCGCCTTTGTCGCGCCTCGGCCAATCGGGAGCGCGAGGCGCGGCGGAAGCCAATGGGGGAGCGGCTCGGCCGGGCAGGGGGACAGCCCGGCGCCGAGCCCAGGCTCATTCCGCGCTGCCGCCCGATGGGGACGGAGTGGCCGTGGCTTCGCTGTGCCGGCTGCGCCGCTCGCTGCCCCCTCCGCCCGCCCGAGCCGGGGGGAGGCGCCGGGGCGGGGAGCGGTGGCCGAGCCGGAGCCGCCCGGGCAGGGGCGCGCAGCCAGGAGGGAGGGAAAGGTGCGGATCGGGGCACGGGAATGGCGCGGGCAATGGCGCGGGCCCCGGCGGCGGGGGGCGGGCGGAGCGCGAGCGGCGGGCGGAGCGCGGGCGGGGAGGGAGGGGCGGTGGCTCGGCGGGGAGGGGGAGCCGCCCGGGCCGCCCTCAGCGGGGTCTCCGCCGCCGGGGGCGCCTGGCCGGGCTGGGGAGCGGCTCTGAGGGGAGGGTCCCCTCAGAAAGAGCCGGGACGGAGGGTCCGGTGTTACCCGGCAGCATGCGGGTGGAGGGTCCAGAGCCTTCGGTCTCAGGAAGGGCCCTCGGGGGCGGTGGCGGCTCTGAGGGAAGGGCCGGGCGGGAGGGTCCCATGTCCCCTCGGGAAGGGTCGGGCCGGAGGGTCCGGTCTCACGCCGGGAAGGGCTTCGGGACGGTGGTGACGCTCGGGGCCAGCGGGGGCTCCCTCAGCCGTGTGGAGGTGGGGCTGGGCAGGGCCCGCGTGGCCAAGGATCGAAATCCTTCGGTTCCCTGAGGGAGCCCCCAGGACAGGTAGAATGGGATTTTATTCCTCGCAGTGCCAGGASAAGGGGGATGGATTCAGGCCGGAATAGAAGAGCGTTAGGTGGGATATTGGGAAGGAATTCCTGTCTGGGAGGGTGGGGAAGGGCTGGGCTGGAATTCCCAGAGAAGCTGTGGCTGCCCCTGGATCCCTGGAATGTCCAAGGCCAGGTTGGAGCATCCTGGGAAAGTGGGAGCTGTCCCTGCCCTTGGAATGTGATCCGCTCTAAGCTGCTTTCCAAGCCAAACCATTCCATGCTCCTGGATTCTTTTCCAGGCGCTGCTGGGATGAGGTGCCAGCTGTTGGATGCGGAGTCCAAGCCCACTCCTGCTTCTCCCTAGGGATTTGGGATTGCCAAACATCCGGCATCGCTTCTATCAGCAGGAGCAGAACCCAGGTAAAATTCCTGTTTGTCCCTTCTCACTGTTCCTGGAGCTCAGGTGGGCTTGTCCAGCTCTCCCTGGAAAACATAGGGCTGGAACAATCTCTTAGTGCTGTTGGAAAGTATCATGAGAATGATGAAAATCTCTGCAAAAACTTCATTTTATCAAAATATTTTGCAGTGCAGGATGGCGATGAAGTCTCACCTGTGTGTGGATAAATTCCAGGAATGTGGATGACAATAGAAGGAATCATTTTGGGARTGGGACAGGAAATGCTGGATCCAGCTCCAGGTAAAAATTCTGATTTAAGTAAAATGAAATTGACCTTCTGCAACAGGTTCTTGGTTTTGGGATGTTTTAGGGGTTTATGGTAAAATTTTGAGATTGGCTGACAAAACCTTGCTTGGAAATTCATATGCCAAACTTTTCTAAGTGTTTAGGATTTGGGAATTGGGGAATTTTATCTGAGCTCTGTCTGAACTTCTCCTTTCCAGGTGTGACCAAYGGTGGTTCCTGGGCTGGTCCTTCCAGAACTTTTGATGAAATTTGTTCTCCAGGCCCTTCTGAAGACCTCTGGGAAAGGACTTTCCTCATGGAAAAAAACATGCTGGAAGAATAGGAGAATTTAAAGGAATTTCTGGGAATCCAGAGCTACTTTTTCAATTATTTCACAGAAGGAAAATGTSTGTGTTGATTGTAAAGGTGCAGAAAATCCCCCTTTTTTAATTATTGATGGAATTGATTCTGAGTTAAAGCCAAAGTTCCATGTTTAAAGCTGCTCCTTCCCTTGTTTGTATTCCWAAAGTTTGAGAATTCCAGGGAATTAAATGGGAATTATAATAATGGAAATAAATTTTAAAGAACATTTTTGCAGGCTAGAACTTTCCTTCACCRATTATTCAATTCGTGGGGCTTTTTCCTTGTTTGATTCTATCYGGAGTTTTGAATTTATGGGATTTGTTTTTAACAAGATTTGGAGATGTTTTCCTTGTTTATTTTTATCAGGCGTTTTGAATTTGTGGTGGTTTTTTTTTTCCCTGTTTATTTTTAGAAGAATTTGAGGTTTTTTCTCTTTCCCAGATATTTTTAATTTGTGGTGTTTTTCCTTGTCTGTTTTTAAGAGGAATTTTGCATTCCTGGTTTTATTTCCTTGTGTRTATTTAAGAGGAATTTGAGGTTTTTTTCCTCTTCRTTTTTACCAGGAATTTTTAATTTGTAGGGTTGGTATGTACCAAGAATTTCTAGTTTGTGGGATTTTATCCTGGTTTGTTTTTACCAGGAATTTGAGATTTTTTTCCTGCTGTTTTTACCAGGCATTTTTAATTTGTGGGTTTTTTTTCCTGATCATTTTTAAGAAAAATTGGACGCTTTTTCCTCTTTCCCAGGAATTTTTAAGTTGTGGGGTTTTTACTTGTTTGAACAGGATTTTGAGGCTTTTCCTTGTTACTTTTAATACATTTATTTATTTAGTTAAAAGAAATGTTGAATTTATGGAGTTTGCATTTAACAGGAATTTTTAAATTTAGTGTATGGGATTTTCCCTGTTTATTTCTCTCAGGAATTTTGAATTTTTGCAGTTTGGACTTAACAAGAAATTTTTTATTTCATTTATGGGATTTTCCCTTTTTATTTCTCTCAGGAATTTTGAATTTGTGGGGCTTGTTTTTAGCAGGAATTCAAGTTTTTTTCCTTTTTTATTTTTACAGGAATTTGTGAGGTTTTTTCCTTAYTTATTTTGAAACAGGAATTTTTAATTTGTGGGATTTTTCCTAGTTTGTTTTCTCTGTATTTTTCCTTCACTTCTGGTTGTTTTCCCAGGATTCCTGTTCCTTCAGATTCCATGGGAAGCCTCCTCCACCTGCCCCCCATTCCCTGGGTGAATTCCCGCTGGAAAATCCCTTCGAGTTGCGCATTTGTTTGTTCATCCCTAAGAATGTTCCTTTGTTTTCCCACACAAAGAATTCCTTCTTTTTTTCCAGGAACAGCTCCCTGCTCTGTGTGCAGAGCTGGGAATGGCAATGGGAATAAATTCCCTCTCTGAATTCCCCTTTTCCCACCCTCAGCATTCCCAGCTGAATTCCCTGGGGGGAGTTGGGGATACAACAAATTTCTGGGATCCAGGAATTCCATGGAAAAGGGCCTTGGGATTGGATAGGAATTTCCTGACCACCCCCATTTGGCATGTAGCACCTTAAAAATTGATTTTTTTGCAGCATTCCAGGGGAAAAATGGGGGAAATCCTTTTAAAAAATGAGGAAAAGCTGATTTTTGAGTTTAAAAATGAGGGGGGAAACAAAGAGGAAAAAATACTGGTGTGGCTCCAAATTCCCTCCAAAATTCCTTAAAGTTGAGTGGAAAACGTTATTCCCATTTTTTTAATTACTATTAGATATATTTTATTTTTCTTGACAAAATTTGTAGTGGATGCTTTGAATATTCCTTCTTTTATAATGGAACATTCCAAGATTTTCCTGCTTTACTTTGCCTGGATTCATGGGACAACTTTGGTAAAATCCCATGGAAGCCAAAAAAATCAGGAMTAATTAAAAACTCAATGAATTCTGGGAGAAACCTTCATAATTTGGGGAAAAATGGTGGTAAAACTTGGGAAAAATGGAATCGCCAACTTTTTGGGAATTAAAATAAAACCACTTTAGATGTGGGAAAGTAGAGAATCCAGGGTTTTTTTTTTTTAATTTTTGGTGTCAGAAACCTGTGAGGGGCATGAGAAAAAAGTGGGGGAAAAAAACTTCAGAGATCCTTGGGAAACTCCTGAGAAAATTCCTTGGAAAATCAGAGGTAGGAAAGGAGGAAAAAAGGAGAAATGAAGAAATGCCAATTTTTGGGGGAAAAAAAAACTTCTAGCAAGTCCCAGAAAATGTAAGAATAAGGAAGGTTTTGTAACTGAGGTGGAAAATGGGAAAACTGGGAATGGGAATGGCAAAAATCCAAGTGTTGAAGGAATTTACATGAGGATTTGCAGGATTGATGGAGCTGTTCCAAAAAATATTAAGAGGRTTCCAGTGAAATGGAGAATGTGGGAATTATGGCCAAATCCCTGGGCATTGGGATGAATCCAGAGGTTTCCCATTGGTTTTCCTGACTTTTTCCAAGGGCTTCACTCCAGCTTTTCTTTTGGGAATGTTTGCCCATTCCTGGGATTTTCCAGCAGCTGCTGTCACGGGAAGAGCTCCTTGAGTTCTTCAAAATGAGCAAATCCCATGGAATCAAAGGAAAATCAGGAATTGAGGGTGGATTCCTGTTAAAAACAGGGATGGGAAAGGCCTGAATTCCTTAGAATGAACAAATCCCGTGGAATTTGTGGAATAGCAATTCCCATAAATAACCAAATCCCACAATTCCAGYTTCTTTTAAAAGAGATCAGCTCATCCCAAAGCTTTTCCTCAAAAATGCAGCATTCCCAGTGTTCCAAAGGCAAAATAAACAGAATTTAATAATCTTTTTATTCCTGATTAGGGGTGGGGTCTTTTCCCAGTTTTTCCTGGTGATCCCAAAGGAAACTGGGTACTCCCAATTTTTCAGCCCAGTTCCAAAATTAAAACAGTTTTTTTTTCAGGACACACAGGAAGAAAACAAAAATCCTGGAAGTTGAAATTGTGGATGCTTTTTTCCAGAGCTGGAATGACTGGAAAAGGAAATTCCATAATTA